GATTAAAAATGTTTTTTTTTTCTTTTCCTTTTTGCCTTTTTTTTTTTTTTTTTTGTCTTAAGTTATGTGCTGGGATACAATGTAAGACTCTCCCAATTAATCAAATATTCGAGGCTGTGTTTGAGCTATTGAACTCCAAAGCAGTTTTTTTATTTGCTCATGTAGGGTGCATCTGCACGTAAAATTAATTTGACAAAATAAACTCTGGCACTGTACACACCGGAGTCTTATTGTTTCCGGGCACAGCGTTTACACGTACACCTGGGATCACAGCACGTTGAGCATGGGCAGAGCAGCCCCAGCTGGCAGGGAGCCCTGGTAGTCAGCCTGCCAGCCAGGGTTGCTCCAACACAGCTCAACATGCTGCAGAGGTGTCTGGGACACAAGGGTGCTACAGTGCAGGGCTATTACTGTTGTGCTCCAACCAGCCCAGTCAGCATCTACACAGGCATTGCTGCACAGTAAATAATGCCACCGTATTTACAAGTACTAACCTCTGGCGGCATTTATTAGTTTCTTGCGGCATAGACATGGAGACTTTACTGTGGAGCTAATTAGTCAGCTCTGCAGTGAACGTCTCATGTAGACGCATCCAGAGTCACTAATAACTGTACATAAACTATTTCTTGTTGAAATGCTTAGGCAGCTGCCGTTATTAAAATAGACAAGGCAGAAACTATATTCCTTCAGGTACTACAGAGTCCTGAAGAGTCCATGAAAGTGCTCATAACTTCCATTGAAGTCAGGAGGCTCTAAAGAGTCACCTCATAGGACTGACATTTCACTTTTGATAATTGAGAATTAAATCTTTTCACTTTTCTTGTCTATCAGGTATCAAAATGAAAATACCTTTAAAGATTATGACTATTTCTTGGACGACTTAGACTATGATATGGTAATGAAACTACACTTCCTAATTTACACTTTGTTCTCTGGAAAAATAAGATATTTTGTTTGCTTTTAAAAACCTGATGATTATTATACAAAAACTAGATTCCATGATTGATGGGATGCATATTGTCAACCCATTGGCCAGATTCTTATCTGTGCTGTGGCTGCTTTGTATGACTCTAATACAGGGGTGAGGAATTATTTGGGCTGGCAAGTCACTTAATAAGTTTTGGTGACCTGGTGAGGGTCC